ATTTTCCTGCCTAAGGCAGGACTAGAACTCATAATCTCTTGGGGATTGGTCCAAAGTTAGCCCAGTCCTTTTTCCTGCCTAAGGCGGGACTAGAATTCATAATCTCTTGGGGATTGGTCCAAAGTCAGCCCAGTCCATTTTCCTCCCTAAGGCGGGACTAGAACTCATAATGTCTTGTTGATTGGTCCAAAGTCAACCCGGTCCATTTTCCTCCCTATGGCGGGACTAGAACTCATAATGTCTTGTGGATTGGTCCAAAGTCAACCCGGTCCATTTTCCTGCCTAAGGCGGGACTAGAATTCATAATCTCTTGGGGATTGGTCCAAAGTCAGCCCAGTCCATTTTCCTGCCTAAGGCAGGACTAGAACTCGTAATCTCTTGGGGATTGGTCCAAAGTCAGCCCAGTCCATTTTCCTGTCTAAGGCGGGACTTGCTCTTCCTTCTTGGGAAGCACCTGTCAACCTTCAAAGCTGGCTTTGCTGGTGCAACAATGATTGCTTCTTAGCTTGCCAACGAACTTGGGGGGAGGATGGGGAAATGGAAGGCAGGTCTGCAGAGATCAAGAAGGCAGGCCCTGAGATTCAAGGACGATTCACCAGGTGCCTGGCCCGTCTCAGAGACCTTTTCTCATAACCTTATATTTACACCTCATTGGGCGATGTGACCTGTTTAAGGATGGGAGGGGGAATCCTATACTTTTACTATAGGCCAGGGATTTGCCAGAGCTGGTTTTACTTTCATACGTGCCGAAAAATGTACTCAATAAAGTTTTACATTAAGAGATTGGAATGTCTAGAAGGTTGGGTTGCTGGGTTGAGTATGTCAGTCGGACCTTGACAGCACCAGGTTGAGCATTGGAGTAGACCAGGGGTCTTCAAACTTGGCCCTTTTATGACTTGTGGACTTCGATTCCCAGAATTCCTCAGCCAGCAACGCTGGCTGGGGAATTCTGGGAGTCGAAGTCCACAAGTCATAAAAGGGCCAAGTTTGAAGACCCCTGGAGTAGACCAAGCTTAGCGTGAACCTTTTTCATCCATAAATGTATGTTTGTTTGTTTGTTTGTTTGTTTGTTTGTTTGTTTGTTTGTTTGTTTGTTTGTTTGTTTGTTTGTTTGTTTGTTTCTTTCTTTCTTTCTTTCTTTCTTTCTTTCTTTCTTTCTTTCTTTCTTTCTTTTTGTTTTTTCCTTCTCCAGCTGATTTTGGCTTCTGTGCCCAAATCACTCCGGAGCAGAGTAAGCGCAGCACCATGGTGGGGACGCCATATTGGATGGCTCCCGAAGTGGTCACGAGGAAAGCCTACGGCCCCAAGGTGGACATCTGGTCTCTGGGCATTATGGCCATTGAGATGGTGGAGGGGGAACCCCCGTACCTCAACGAGAATCCCCTGCGGGTAAGCTTTGGGCATCAGTGACGTAAGTCCTCCGCACTTGGCTTCAAGACAGAGCTGTGCCTCGGGACGGGGGGGGGGGGGAAGGCTTACCTTTCCGCCTTCAGTGACCCCCTCCTAGCGAAAAGAGGATGGGGACATTCTCTGTCTAAGGAGACAGAGCAAGTATGGGATGAAGGTATAAAGAGGCCTGTTTAAACGGCCCAACAAGCAGAGATCAAGAATTGGGGTTCCAGCCTGTTCTTTCTGCCATACGTGGTTCTTAATGCTTTTTGCATCATCCTCTGGTTGCAATTTCCAGCTTTGCTAACCAAGAAATTGCTAACAAAAGAAATACACTGCCAGTTGTTAGACCAAGAATTCAATTTTCCCTTCCTTCCTTCCTTCCTTCCTTCCTTCCTTCCTTCCTTCCTTCCTTCCTTCCTTCCTTCCTTCCTTCCATCTTCCTCCCTCCCTCCCTCTCTCCCTCCCTCCCTTTCTCCTTCCTTCCTCCCTCTCTCCCTCCTTCCTTCCCTCACCCTCCTTCCTTCTCTATCCATCTTCCTCCCTCCCTCTCTCCCTCCCTCCCTTTCTCCTTCCTTTCTTCCTTCCTTCCTCCCTCCCTCCTTCCTTCCTCACCCTCCTCCATCCATTTTCCTCCCTCTCTCCCTCCCTCCCTTTCTTCTTCCTTCCTTCCTCCCTCCTTCCTTCCTCATCCTCCTTCCTTCCATCTTCCTCCCTCCCTCCCTTTCTCCTTCCTTCCTCCCTCCCTCCTTCCCTCCTTCCTTCCTTCCTCACCCTCCTTCCTTCTCCATCCATCTTCCTCCCTCTTTCCCTCCCTCCCTTTCTCCTTCCTTCCTTTCTTCCTCCCTCCCTCCCTCCTTACTCACCTTCCTTCCTTCTTCATCCATCTTCCTCCCTCTCTCCCTCCCTCCCTTTCTTCTTCCTT